AATGCGTTGTACTAAATTATCTTATACTTAAAATCTTATCTTGTACTTAAAATTCTGCAGAAAATTCGTACCCTGTCTCAAAGTAGACAGTTTCACAGTGATTTAATTAGCTGCATAATAAGAATTATCCTGGTAAAAGCGTTGCTCAAATCAGACCTAAAATTTACCTCACGATAACTCACTATCATAGGCAGGCACAGTTACATGTTTTAGAAACGTAGGACGTATTAGTTCGTAAAGACACGTTCATAACTTTGATTGTAAATCATTCATAAAAAGGTAATTGAAGAAACGAAAAGTAGCATTAAAGTTGAATTTAGGTAATTAAGATCTGAGAAATTAATTTGAAAATGGGTGGCCCAGTATTGTGTCAAATGGTGCATTATGCTGTTAGCTGTGTTTAAATTTCAATTTCTGCCACCAGTGTTATTCAGTCAGGGCCAATGCAATCCTGTTTCTATTTTAATGTTCGTGTAGCATCGATCTTTCTCGATTATTTTCAGAGTACGCGTTCAAGAATAATGCGACTTCAGCACGAAGCATCCCTCCGATATGTCTGCTTTGGTTGGTTATCGCATTTCAGACGAGATGTACTGAGTCACAAATTAAGCGCTTTGCTCCCTTCGTAAGTTACTTTACATCGTGAAACAACGTTTGGAAATGGACAGCAGAACACGCACATAGACTTACGTATTAAATATATATATATATTATATTATATTAAATAGGTAACATGAAGCGGTATTTAAAGACATTGTATACCTTCAAAGGTTATTTAATGTTTAAAATATGCGGTGAATTTGTAAAGTAAAATATAATGAAATCGTGGATACTTAAAAGGAAATACACAAAATATGCTTATGAAAGAGATTCTGTTTTTGATAAAGCCGTATCGTGTTTTGATATGAGATGTTTTTGTTCATTTATAACCCTCTGTGTTTATTTTCCGCTGCTAATATTATGCACACACACACACACACACACATTAAGGTCACTCTAATGAAAGCCTACTATTGAATTTTCCTGTCCTGTACAATTTTCCAATATCCCAATAAGCTTAATGCAGGGCACTCGCTTCTATAAAACTAATTAGAGACGTTTACGTTAAGGCTGTCAGTGGATCTCCTGTATTTCCACCAATCAATATGACAACAGAATGTTCCTAGCTGCGTCATATCCCATACTGCATCATTCGTTGGGAACACATGAAATTAAATAAACTTTAAAATAAATAAAAAGTGTTCAAAGCAACCATTTCAGTAACAGGGTTTGATCGCTCTAATCAGATGTTCTCAACTTTCTTTTTATATGAAATCATATTTAGATCTACGTATCGATTCGCGGTCAGAAGAAGTTAGAAATAAGGAAAATTTATTCAAAATTCATAGCAAATTATCAAATATGCGACTATTAAGGTATGCTGATGCGAATATATTCGCACATTACTCCTTCATTTTAGTTAATGCTTCAATTATTAGTGAGACACAGGTTTTGCTAGAGTAGCATTTCAATTTCATTTACTTTCCGATTTGCTCTCCATGTATTTCTTCGCGTGATTTCGTCAGTACAGATCTTTCCTGTTCTCGATTCGACGTTCATTATCTGACAGCTGTTTACAGCGATATTTAATGTAAAATAATTTTTTTTATCAAAACTTGTGTTCTGATTTCAGGTAACTATTTATCACACAGCATAAGAATATTATAAACCATGAAAGCGATCATCACAACACACGTGGGAGGACTGCAAAGCAAATTAATTTATTTTTATGTTCTGTGCTCTGCTTGGGTGCCATCACTTGGACAAGGTATATGAAACTGTCTATTGTAAGAGACCAGAATTTGTAAACCGTAAAAGAAGAAGAAATTAAGAAAAAATTCGGATTTATTTTTAGGTTACCTAGGCTATGTGAACGGAATCCAATGACAATGGAAAAAATAGTATACAGGGAATTTTCTAAAAGGATTCCTGGTCGATTTGAAGGTGCTATACCGACAGTTGCTTGGAGAGGTTACAAGAACCTCAGTGAGGATAGTTTAAAATTATGGCGAGATTCGAACCTTATATTTCACGAGACTTACATAACCTGAACCTACGCGACGTAAAGAGAAAGGACAGGAGAAGAGGAGAAGAGGAGAAGGAACGTGGCATAAATGAGGCTTCACATAAATTATTTCGAAAAAAGGCATTGACCGTTCGAAGTGAAAGATCTCCTATTTGTCTGATTTTAAGATTCCGCGGTAATTCATTTTTGATGTGGGTCGTACTTTTGGAACTAGAAGTTATCCTTCTGTTACATTTCATGTAAATCAATACTGACCGTGTGACATAGGACTGAAGTGTAGCTCAGGAAACTACCAACAGCTTTTGTAATACAAATTATTTTACAGATAAAAAACCCCACAATTTCTTTTCGCAAACGTGACAGATAGTTCGGCGTTACTCGATAAAATTTAAAAATTTTGCACTTTAAAAACAAAGATTCCTACTTTACAAGTTATTATTTTCAAGTAATATCTATTTGAAAAAGTTTAATACAATATAATCAGTTAGTTTTTGAAAACAAAATTCGATCGTGCAATGTGAAGTATGCCTAAACAAGTCTTTGGGCACATTCATAAAAATAAAAGTATATTGAAGATTAATTATTCACGTTGAATGTAGTCTGTCTACAATAATTATCTGTTTATGATTCACAAATCATAATCAAATACAATATAATATTCGTAATAATACCTTCAACAGGAATGTAGAATAATATGAAATGTTCATTTACCTCTTGCGTAAGATAAAAACATTAAATCAGTTAAATAATATAAATATTGTGGGAATTTGTTTAAATATATGAAGTTAATTTCATTTCATGTACTTCTTGATAATCGATAACGTTGCCATTAAAACTGCTCCTCAGTTTCAAAGTAGAATATACAAATTACACGTTCATAAGTAATGTAATTGACACATTTGGATTAAAATTCGCCAAACAAAATAAAGTCAAATAATTATTAATGGGCTATGCTTTTCACATTTAAAAATCTCTAGATAGAATGAGAATAAATTAAAATAATTAAAGTTTATAAGCTTTTATTTTCATTCCTGAAACAAACTTATAAATCTTAAATATATCTTTTTCCTGTCCATTCAAGCGTTATCAGGTTTTATATAGTTTAATACTGAATGAAGCAAGAGCTAGAGTGGACTTAGATTACCAGTTTTTCCTAAAAAAAAAACATAATATTTCCAATTTATTATACCGTTTCTTATACGAAATCGGCCTCGATTTGTGTACTGAACACCCATATCAAAAAAAGTACCCTGGCTCACGAACATAAAATTTATTGACCAAACGATCCGCCCGTGAAAAAGTTTGGAGACCCCTCACGTACTCCACAGAGAAAGTTTCATGCGGGTCGGTTCTGCCCATTAGAGGTCACGAAACTTCCGTGAATATTAATCACACTCAGCGGTAACCAGTAGGGAATCCGCGAGCCAAATGTAGCACGCAATTTAAAAGTAACATCTGATACGCGTAACGAACTATTTTGTTTAGTTATCTTTCATATTTATTCGTCTCTCTTAAAAAACGTGGATTACATTTATTGTTAAGTACCGCGAAAAGATATTTATAGCTTCTTATAATGTCTTCACTTGCGGGCTGTGCGAAGTTAAAATTTATTCTGGAATTATTAATGTTCAGGTATTTAGTAGGACTCCTTGGATGGGTAATCGGCTTATTGCAAGGTTTTCACCGAAAAACAGCACAACGTAAAGAAACGTGTACACACCAACATGCTTTAAGACGTGTTTTGGAACCACGACTCCAGACCGAATGCGCCTCCGATCGAAAACATGTTACATGTATTCAAATTTGACGTTCACGAAATAAATGTGTTTACCTGCGTGAAAGAAGCTGTTCACGTCTTGATCAGGCATTGAAAATGGATTAACGATGTTTTTAATTCCTATGCTAGATATAGGCATTAAAACTCTCACACTGAATAATAAGAACTAATATAGTAGTCTTATATTTGGAATCAGAAAACTAAAAATTTAAATTTCATGTTAAATATTTTATAATTTACGGATAAATAAAAGTTTAAATAATAATCTGTAACTCGTGAAAATATTTCTGTAGAAATAAATTTCCACGACTTAAATATAATTTACTTATATCTATTCTCTCACTGCCATTAAGTTAGTTACTAGGCATCTGCATTTGTTAACAGTAATTTTCTGAGTTTCAGTAAATTTAATACCAGAACGTTTTTCAATTTCAATATATTCCTAATAGGCTGGAGTAGGAGAATACTAATACTTAAAAATGAACAATATATTTAATCTTTTACTCTAATTCACAGTTAAAGTAGAATATCTTTTGTTGAAAAATTAGACCTATTTAAGCTGCAAGTCACATATTTATGCATTACCACGGTTCACGTTTTCTGTAAAAATCTAAAACTTGACTCCTGATAAAATATTCTAATCAACAATTTTCAACAAAATAACAGCTAACTATTTAAGTATAAATAGTTGTAAATTTTAGATATTTGAAATATAAGTGTTACTATTATTTTAAAATGCATGTTAATTGCTACAAACCCTTCTTATTAACCTTTCGTAGAAATATATATTATTAAATACCGTGATAAATATATCGAAGAATTAAAACACATATTGATATAAATTTCTGTCTTCGCCATTACCAATTCATAAGTAATTGATCCTTTAATTATAACAAGATTGTATCTGTGCCACCACGAGTAATCATGTATAAATAAATACCTGCTACTTATTTTTATAAGTAACATTAAATCCTGTTGAGTTTATCAATGGCGAAAAATTATGCTTATATACAGCATTGTACCAAAATTATAAAGTAGTATTATAAAACATTTAGGTGGTTATACAGGGATATATTCATAATATACTGTAATCAATAGTTAGAAAAATGTTTGCTGTGGCTATTGACTACATGCAGCAGGTGGTTAGGGTTACAGTACCTTGTAGGTGGCGAGGTCCTCAACCACACAAGCGAGGGTAGCTTCCCGGGCCACAGGGATTGTCACGTTGTTGATCGGCTGTCCGAACTTCGGGACATCTGGGAAAAGAAACAAAACACGATCAACTAGGTTATTGGAAAAAGAGTTTCTTTCTGTCTCAATTTGACTTCTAAACGAATAATATCATCTAAATTCCTGGTCACGTCTTCTGGACTTCCACATTTGGTGCCATCATACATTGTGTTTCAACATTTACACCAATTTCCAAGTTATTTTGTTCTCGGTGATGTATTTAATCGCGTACGTCCCATAGGAGTAGAATTATTTCATTTATTTCTGAAGTACGTAGACAATCTTATTCTCTTTACGCTTCTCTTTCGGAGACAGGTCACAGAAATCATCAGACTTTCCGCTGCCTGCAAATCATCACAGTAACAGAATCAAAGCAGGTCTCAATAATCAGTACCCAGATGAATGGTTCTTCATTTTCCAGTATGTTTGCAATATTAGTTTGTAAAATATTAAATGCCAGGTTTAAGTGACTGGAAGAATATGTAAACGTCTCCAAACATTGTTGAAGTTTTCTTATTTGAGGGAACGGAGATGCCAACAGTTACATTAAAAATGGTCATAGAAGCAGAAACCTTTATACATAGCCTGAAGAAATTAGCACATTGAATACATGGCCGCCAGATACAAGAACGCTGGCCTTGTAATCCTGGGGTCTCGGGTTCGATTCCCGACTGTGCCCGAATTTATAACTTGTGTTGGGCAAGGTCGTGGTCTAGGCAACACGGAGTTTTCCTCCGGGGGCTTCCCCGGTTTCTCCGTGGCATCCCAACAATTACTCCATTCACACACAGAAGAAGGCAATGGCAAACCACTTCTGGATCATCGGTCAAGAACGTATATGAACAGGTCCCAGGCCGAGAAAAGGATGGAAGGATCCTGGTCATATGGACCTGTCCTCAGACAGAACACTAAATAATAATAAATAAATAAATCACTTATCGTAAAACCAGAATATTCATTGTCATCATAACGAAAGCTAACACAATTTATTTTCATCTGTAGGGTACGTTTTACATCTTTGTATCGATTCGATAACGTTGTGGACGTATATTCGGTTGTTAACCGGGTTTGAATCTTAGCCACATTACTGACAAATCTAAATGAAAATATTTGTGGGTTTTTTCAGTATATTTTATCTTTAAATAAGAAGTTATTGTCTCGTTTAAAGTCCTTGTTATCCATAACTTCTTGTAATTTTCCGTTAAAATCTATGCTATTTAAAGTCTGTACTAGAACACAATTAAATAACATATTTATAAATCTATCTAAAGAGTCATTTAAATGAGACAATAATTCGACAAATTAGACTGAATTGTAGAGTTTTCCACTTGTATTCTGTTGTAAATTATGTAATATAATATTTGAAAGGTATTCACTATAAATGTATATTCAGTTTAAATTTTATTGATTCAAATAATTTTGTGTTTGTGGTAATAATCGAATACAACCCAAAACCTATATTTTATTTTCCCATACGTTAAGTTATAAATTTGTAAATTTTTTAGTGATAAATAGGTTACAGATTTCACAAGTAACTGGGAGACTTGTACAATTTATTGAACAATCAGCTACTTAATTTAGTGTGATTATTATTATTTCGGCAACAAACCCCTTAAACTTTACTGACACGAATGTCATCCATAACTTACTTTTACAAATTTATCTTAGTCTGTAATAGATTTTTGAAAAAGCATAGTGACTGAAAGCCACTTCACCAAATACAACCACTTGTTTATATTTATTAGTTGTATTTTGATTGCTTGATGTCAGAATTATTTTAGCACATTTATTAAGACGGGCATAAAATACTTAATTAGTGACTTCTCCCTTTTAAGTATTTAAATGTTTCGTAGGCAACGTTCTTCAATAAAGGACAAATAATTGGATTTTCATTATACAGAATATCAAGCAAAGCAGACTAAAAAAAGTTAACGTAGATGATATCTGAGGATCTCTTGGACGGGTATGAAGTTGGCTGCATTTTAGGAACGCAGCAACGTTCAGTCTAATAAATATCAGAGAAGCTTACTGCCTCTTCATCAGGACGATGATTTTACATCCCAGAAGGCAGTCATGTTCATAAATCTATGCACCTAAAAAGTAAGATTTCAAACGAGCCTGAAGCACAAAACAAAGATTCAGAAACCATTTCATTTTAATCAGCTATACGTCAAGTCCGTCTCTATGAGTGGAACTCTAATGGAAGTTGGAGGCTTATGGGATCCATGATTTATAATGCGTACTTGTAGCAGAAAGAGGGGTAAAATGGCGAGTGAGTGAGCATGGGGTCGTGCATGAGGCACAACGTTAAGGTGCCGAAGTGATGCATTGGATCGCGTGTCACGAGCCCATCTCCTGCCCGGCCGTTTGCTTGCAAGGTGTTGGTTATATCGAATACTAAAAAAGATTAATAGTGGACGCAGTACGAGGTGGGTTTTCTATACCTAGTTCTTTGTGCGCCACCAAGAAGACTTCTTTTCTTGACTTGACTCGATCAATCTACTGCATCGAACTCTCTGCAGAAACTACAGGATGTTTATTTTCTGCATGTTTGTTATTCGTTTTTATTTTAAAACTTCAAGGCTCCTATAATGATTGTGTTCTTTATGTGATGTCTAATATTAGATTAATGGATAATAAATGAGAACATATAGAAGCAAATCAAAGTCTAACTTTAGGTAACAGGTTTGTTTTTTATTCATAAAAATTCTTGAATCGAAGCAAACTGCTAGAATATTTCAAGATTGCAATAGTTCATTCATAGCTAAGCTGCATGCTGCTAGAATTACAAAAATGTTACACATACAGATTCCTGAGGCTGGCGAATAAATAACTTGACAGGGTTTTCAATGTGTTTTTAAATTACTTTATTTCATAATACACTCTCTTAGATGATTTTCTATGTCAGTTTACCGTAAGAACGCGATCTATACTACGTGTTATTCCAGCAAATATTTTATACGTTACGTTGTTGAAGAAAAAGAGGAAATTATTAAAATTGAGTCTGTTCCAACATTGTTTCTATAGCGGTCGCAGTAGTTTTTGGCCGGTGGAATAGGAGCGAGTCACTTCTACGATAGTATAATGTTTCGTCTGCCTCTAGGAAGGACGAGGAGGTTATCGGACTCAAAGTCCAAACAAAACAAATATACTGACCTTGCCACCTCAAGTACACAGAGCTCGGCTAGCTTCTCAACCTGCCAGAAACTATTGCGCCGACTATATTAAGGAACTGTATGCGGTCGAATGTAATTGGCTGTATTCTAATGAAATTTTCTGCTATAATAGCCTATACTTTACTGGACTGCTATATTCTAGAGTGGACCCAAATCAAGTATGGAGCCACTAGTAATAGTAGTAGTCTATTATTATGATACATTGGGCAGGAAATTGTTTTGCTAATATCAGGGTATTATCGATGGTCTACTGTGTGAAACTGAGGGAAGTCACGAATGGAACGAGGAAAAATATGTAGACTCGAGTATCGATCTGAAAAATGTGTTGCAATTGAAAGCACCGACAGAATAAATATTATTTCTCAAGTACGAACAGATGAGAGAATATGAAAGCGTTTATATTTTCAAAAGCAACGGTACGTTATAACTACATGGTATGTGTCTTGGCTGGATAAGTTTGTAAATAATAGTTTTTATTTACACAACAAATTTACCCCAAATATAACAGTCGTAGAAAGAGATTCCGTCACTCCATTTTCGTCCGAAAATATATACAGTACAATTTGAAAAAAATATGGACTTCTTAACGTGATGAGGATGACAATAGGCTTCATGTATCATTTTGAGTCCTCCACTGGACAACCATCTCAGGCCTGAAGTGCGTTACTTATTTTAATTATTCACGTTTTGTTAGAATCCTGAATACTTATGCCCACATAGATTTAATAGTGGTCACTGATGTAAAAACGCATTAAAGATACAAATATTGTGTTTCCACAAAACGTATGCACATTGTGACAAAAGACAGTGGCGCCATCAAGAAAGCATCCTTAAAAATTAAAACCATTGAGGTTCCCGTCAAAACGTAACTCCTTACTTTTGTAAGTACAAAGTCAAACACAACACGTTAATTAAAACATCGCCTTGTCCCGTGTTCTAATTCATACAGGATCCGGCAGAATTATCTAACGGTTCTTAATAATTAGTTAAAGACATACACCGCTACGTTGTACACGTAGTACTGTTATAAAGAATAGTGGTAATCTTGTAATTTAGTTCAGTATGGAGCGTTGGACTGTACAGGAGCGCGTGACTATGATAGAACAGTCAATTCGAACAACGATTACGACACACATCGACAATTTCGACGCCTGTTTAATCGACGGGACGGTCTCTGTCACAAATCAACTGGATCATATTCCGTTCGCACATCAGGAAACATTGTAGGAACGTTGGTGGCAGCTGAGCGTAGTCCTAGACGTTCAGCAATAAAACACGCTTAGGCGCTCCGAAATCTTGCCGAACTTTACGACGAATTTTATACGAAAATATACACTTCTATACTTACAAATTTCAGGTCGTCAAATTACTGACCAAACTTGTGAACAACGTGTATTTTGATGCATATTTTCGTTGAATTTGATGGATGAGAGGCCAGACTTCACAAAACAGTTTGTTGATAAGTGATAAAGCGAACTTCCACCTAACCGGTGCAATGAATATATTGAATTTTCGTTGCTAGCCCATGGAAAATACACAAAAACTTCAACAGTGGCCTTTGCACAGTTCGAAAGTCACTGTGTGGTGAGCTGTCTCGTATGTTTGGATAATGGGGCCTTATTTCTTCACGACGACAATGTTCACCCCGTTAAAATCAATGCAGAGCTAAGGAAACATACTTGTACATTTTCTGGTTGCAAGAATAAACTTCTACGCCAGCATGAAGCTTTGTGGTTCCAGCAACACGGGACCAGAGACCCCACACTGCTCGCATAAGTAATTCTACCATTCGCAATTTATTCCCGCGGAGTATAATTTAACGATTTACACACGTGTCTTGGCCACCTTGT